GTCTCTTATGCTCACCAAGACTGCATTTACTTGATTAGAAAAAATCAACAAATTACTATTACTGTAACAACAGTAATACTGTGAAATATTATTACGATTTAAAAGAATTGTCACCTATTTTAATGTAGAATGTAATTCATTCCTGTGATGGCACAGCAGCCATTACTCCAGTCTTCAGTGTCACGTGATCTTTCAGAAATCATTCTGTAATTAATTCTGTATAATTTTTTATAATTTATTATTGGTATTCAATAATTAACAATGGTTCTTATCACTAACAAATTGTTTTGCTGCTTAATATTCTTGTGGAAATGTTTTGTGGAAAACATCAAACATTAGGATTTATTGATTAATAAAAAGTTCAAAAGAATTGCATTTATTTGAAATATAAATATTTTGTAACATAAAAAATGTCTTTACTGTCACTTTTGATCAATTTAATACATTCTTGCTCCAAAGTATTGATGTTTTGTTTTAAATTTTAGCTTTGCCATCACAGGAATAAAATACATTTTAAAATATATTAAAATATTAACATTACTAAAGTAGAATTATTACAGAAATATTTAATATATTAAAATAGAAAGGTTATTTGTAATAAAATTGTTTAATAAAATGTCACAATATTGTTTTACTGTATATTTGATCAAATTAATTATGCTTTACTGAACATAAGAGACTTTCAAAAACTTAAAATTTAAATTTTTCCAAACTTTTGACATAGTTTACATACAGCGGAGATCAAAATTACAGAACAATCTATAAATACTTGATTTTTTTCTAAAATATTGTTAATCTTCATCACTCAAAATTTGAAGGAATATTAGCTGTAGGTATACCACCATTCTACTAACAGGTTTGACTAAATAACCAAGGCATTTAAACAAAAAACATTATTTTGTGGAAAACACAGTGATACAAACACAGTGATTGTGGAATACAGCGAAAATTAGAGAACAGTAGCCATTGTAGCAAAGCACTGAACTGGCAAGCAATTCCAGCTGCAGTGTTGAACCGATTCCCCACTGAGAGTCTCCACATTATTCTCTCTTCTCCTGCATTTGTCTTACGTGGACGACCAGCCTTTTTGGGAGACTTGAATGAATTAGTTTCATTGTAAAGCTGCAATATTCGAGAAATCACAGATTTGGAATGACCAGCTTCTCTTGCAATGGCTGAAAAGGTCATCTCTTTGGCCTTCATCTGGACAACCTCCTGTCGTAGGGTTTCAGTCACCTTAGAGCGGCCCGCCATCTTTCAATCTCAGTGAAAATTAGAGGAATGCTGCCAGTTAAATAGGGTTTGTCATATAATTAAGGAAATTAGCACCAGGTGCCAGATTAACACCAATATCTGTAAGTGTTCTTTAATTTGATCAGAGTTCTTTTTCAAATATCTCATTTATGTTTTTATAATGTGCTATACTAATTTATGAAATATGCTATAAAAAAACTGCCCTTCTACTCCTGTTAGGATAACTTCAAATAGAACTAAGCAGTGACCTTGAAATTTAGGAAATTGTAGGTTGTCCTCATATTGATCTCCACTGTATATATAAAACGTCATTATCTATATTTCACTTGCAGAATTTAAAACTTGATTTTATTTTTAAGATTTGAACCATAGACTAACACATTTGACATATATAATGCTAATAATTTTTAAAAAATCTTTAAAGTAGGGTTTTGCCTACAACAACAACAACTAAAAATTCCTGGATCTGTTCAAATACAGTCGTGGCCAAAAGTTTTGGCAGTGACATAAGTTTTGTGTTTTGCAAAGTTTGCTGTTTCAGTATTTGTAGATTATTTTTCCACATGTTTCTATGGTATACTGAAAAACAATTATAAGCATTTCATATGTTTTAAAGGATTTCATTGGCAAAAAAATATGAGTCAATATTTACAGTGTTGACCCTTGTTCTTCATAACCTCTGCAATTCGCTCTGGCCTGCTGGATATTAGCTTCTGGGCCAAATCCTGACTGATGGCGATCCATTCTTGCCTTATTAGTTCTCGGAGTTGATCACAATTTGTGGGCTTCTGCTTGTCCACTCGCCTTTTGAAAACTGACCACAGGCTCTCTATGGGACTGAGATCCAGGGGGGTTGCCTGGCCACGGATCCAAAATTTCAATGTAATGATCTTCAAGCCACTTCTTTATCACTCTTGCTTTGTGACATGGTGCTCCATCATGCTGGAAAATGCACGGATCATCACCAAATTGCTCATGGATCATTAGAAGAAATCGCTCTTGCAGGACGTTTGATACCATTCTTTATTCATGAATTATGAGAGAGCCCACTCCCTTGCTTGAAGAGCAACCCCACACATCTGATCACTCTACACAATAATCTAGAAACAATGTGAATGAACACCACAACAGCTTAAGCAGCAAATTTGCAAAACACAAAATTAACGCCACTGTCAAAACTTTTGGCCATGACTGTACAGCCGTTTACTGATTTAGTGTCAAGAGAGTTTTTTCCCTCCTCAATAAGGCTGACAAAGAGCACTGCAGCCTTGATATCAATTTAGGTCAAAGTGACAACTATGTCTGCCCTCTGACCAACTAACATACTTACTGTTTAAAGTGTTGCTGCCAGTTTTAGTTCCTCCTTGTCTTGTGTCCTCTTCTTCTTCCTCCTCCTCCTCCTCCTCCATAACCCCCTCATCATCATCGTCCTCATCATCTTCTTCTTCTCTTCTATCCCATTCTTCCTCAGAAGTCTTTCTGGATGTTTTCTTCTTTTTCTTGTGGTGGGTTAATCGTTGATATATACAAGCCCCTGTGGACTGGAACCTTGGGTCAAGTGAGAGCGGCAGATGTGCTGAAGACTTCTCTGTATCTTTGTGTGCGCTGCGCAGATCCATTGCGTAAATGTTCCTCTTCAAGACAGCAATATATGGATAGACACAGAATTGTTATTAATAACTAGACTACAACTATGAAAACATTTTTGTTCATTAAAATAAATCGTATAAAGCTGGACCACAAAACCAGTCATAAGGGTCAATTTCTTGAAAATTGAGACTTATACATCATCTGAAAGCTTAATAAATAAGCTTTCCATTGATGTATGGTTTGTTAGGATAAGACAATATTTGGCCGAGATACAACAATTTGAAAATCTGGAATCTGAGAGTGCAAAAAAATCTAAATACTGAGAAAATCGCCTTTAAAGTTGTCCAAATGAAGTTCTTAACAATGCATATTACTAATCAAAAATTAAGTTTTAATATATTTACAGTAGGAAATTTACAAAATATCTTCATGGAACATGATCTTAAAAAAAAACTACAATTGTATTAAATTAAAACTAAAATAAAAATAAACTAGATCTAAATAGTAATATATTAAAAACACAAAAAATAATAAAAATGGCAAAAGTACTTTTGACAAATGACAAAATTAAAATTGAAAGTAAACAAATAAAGGTTAATATTAATAAAACTATAATGGTATATACATACTACTAAAATAACACTGGACAGACATAATTTTAATGATAATTTAGCAGGGGAAATAATCACAGTAATGAAGATGCTGTAGTGGTCATTACCTGCATGAAGAGTCTTTTCGGTTTTGGGCCTCTTTTACGCCACCTCACTGACCTTTCTCTCTCTTCTCTGTTTGCAATTAGAAATAATGAGTAAACGCAGTGTGGATGAATTAATAATATACTAGTGGCTGAAAGTGAAAGAATGAATAAGGACATTTCATTTTTAGAACCGCTCACTTTTCCTCATACGTTAAAACCAGTCGAGGGTCTAGAATGTGCTCCTCTGGCTCCCATGTGCTGTACCTTTAAAGTCATTAAAACATATACATATTTATTGACATGACATGCAAATAAATAAACAAAATATCACAGCCGCTACAGTAATAACTGTAAAACTACCAGGAAATAAATATTGAGAAATTTAGAAATTAAGCTTATCCCGTAATAATAATAATAATAATAATAATAATAATAATACTTACTTGGGAGGCCACCCCTTCCACTTCAATAAATACTCGACGTGACCCTTAAACATTAGAATAAAAAAAGAAAAAACATATATAAACCAATACTACATTTATATTTTCATTATATTAAAATACCATCAGTAGGATTTTTGTCTCGAGTACACATTTCTTCTGAATGTTTTGGTTTTGTCTTGTACGTGTGCGATGACGTAATGATACGGTTGCGTAATAAAGAATTAAAGGAGGGACGATCCCAAAACTAACAGCTCCTCCTTTTTATTTTAATCCCGAGATTTCATGAGACCAAAATGAACGGTCATTTATCAAGCGTTATTTTAAACTAACCGCATGTTTTAATTTGATTTCAAAGAAACTGAGAGCTACGTCTGCTCGCACTAATAAGCTCAGAATGCTGTTTTAAAATAAATAAAAAAATAAACCTCAGGTGCTGACATCTAAATGGCCAAACTTTACATGAGTTGTTAGATCCCTCCGGAAAATAAAACTGCGTAGTCTCCATGACTACGAATAGGATCACCTCCCTATTCCAAAAGCGTGCTGTGCGACATGCGTCATCATCGAAGTTATTAGACTACAAACACACTTCCACGCTGTTGTGAGGGGGACGTGTGTGTCCTCGCCCCTTTTACATGTTGTGTGTGTGCAGCGGGCACCGACTGAACTGTCAGTAAACACACAGCTACACGCGCATGTCACTTACCTTTCTAACTCTTTTCTTTATGATCGACTCCACAGCGAACACTTGCTCACCGATCGCGGACAGTTCCATCAGTTAAGTTGAGCTAAAATAATGAAGTAGCTGTCAATGTGTCTTTGTGCTTTTCCTTCTTGTCGTTAAAGTAACTATGAAAATGAAAATCCCATGCACTGTTAGGATGGCTGCACACGTTCCCGCTCTTCCGCTGCCTTGTTTACAATTCAGTATTTTATGTTTTGCACTGCTCCATTTCCTTGTACTAGATGAGCACAGACTTTTTAAACCTGCGACACATCTGCAGCGCTCAGTGCGCCCCCGTGCGCCACACAGAGGATTGACTTGCAGCACTGTTGATCGGATTATCAACTAGCAGGTACCACATTCGTTTTTTGTTTCTTGCAGGATTTATGTGGTTTATGTTTTTTACCTTTCAGATTTGATTTTTGCAATTCAAAATATTAAATAAAGGAATAAAGTAATATTAAATAAATTAATAAATAAATTAGTTTGCTTACATGCAGCATTACAATTTCATCTATGGGCAATAGATCTCAAATCTCTCATTGACGAAGATGCACACTATTTCTGAAAGAAGTCTCTTATGATCGCAAAGGCTGCATTTATTTGATTAAAAATAGAATAAAACCTTATAGTGTGAAATATGATCACAGTCTCAAATAACTTTTCTATTTCAATATTTTTTTTTAAATGTCACTTATTTATGTGATGACAAAGCTGAATTTTCAGCAGCCATTACTTAATTCTTCAGTGTCACATGATCCTTCAGAAATCCTTCTAATATGCTGATTTGGTGCTCAAAAAACATGATAATAAATCAGTGCTGAAAACGGTTGCGCTGCTCAATATTTCTGTGGCAAATTTGATGAAGGAAAAGTTATTATAGCTTACAAAATGATTATAAAACAAAGGTAAGGGAGTGCAAGGGAGTCTGAAAAAAAAATAGAGAAAAGCTGTAAAAAAAAAAGAAAAAGAAATAAACAAAAAATTATTAATGTAAATAGTAACAACATAAAAGCAGCTAAATATTTTCCAAAAATATATATTTTTACACATTCATATTATTAATTTTTCACAGTATAAATTGAGTCTTTATACATACAAATATATATTTAAATTCAGGATGAGGGTCCCTCACACAGATGATCGTATTTGGAGGTCCATGGCATCTAAAAGAATGAAACCCCCTGGTGTAGATGACATGAACAAGAGAGAAAAGCAGCACCACACTGTATACATACAAAGACATTTTTAATGATGTCACAGCGCATTTTACATCTTACATGAAGTGCCATCATAAGCATTTTATTTGAATGGAAATCAATGGCATGAGCACATGTCCCTGTCCCCCTGAAATAAAGGGTTGTGGGGATTTAGATTGTCATGGCAAAGGAATCTATTCATCTCTACAGTATTACAAAGCACCCTGTGTATGGACATGTAGAATGGTCCTTTTAAGCTGTAGTATCTGATTCGAGTGTCTATAATCTATTTGAAGTGTTTTACATAACATGTTGAAGATCGGTGTTTAATAAGTGAAATTGAATCAAGTTGGATCTGAAGATAACCTGAGATGCATTATTAGACTTCCCTTTGTGTAAATCTGCTCCCTCTGTAAACAGTTTAAGGCCATGTTAATCCAATATCAAAGATGAATAAACTTTGCAAGATTTCAGAGATCTCAATCTTTTTAACTTATTTCAGCATTTTCTATTTAAAAAGTACATACAACAGTTTCAATTAACAATAAGGTTTTTGGCAGTTGAAAAAAACTTTTTTTTTTTTTACTACCAACACTCACCTGTTTTATTTCCTACATGTAGTCTAGGATTCAGCAAGTCTAACCTTAACTGTTTAACAAGAAAGAGTGTCGAGAGCAACCATTTAAGGTAAGAGATTAACAAGTGACCATTTTGGTAACATATGTTATAGGAAACTAACACAAAACATCCAATTACTGTGGTGCCATGCTGTACTGTGATACACAGGAAACATCTCATCTCTCACTATGCCATTAAATATGTAGGAAACGGTTAAGCAGGGGCTACTGGTGTGGCGGACAGTTCAGACAATCACATGGATGCACAGGAAATCACATGAAAAGAGAGAAGTGGTGAGGATGACAGGTGATGCACAAGGAGAACACATCACTAAGAATTCCATAACCTCTTACTTTCAAGTCAGAAAACAGTACAAAGTAAAATAAATAATCAATGTATAAAAAATGCATCAGAATCCCAAATACCAAACAAAATTCTCTGCGTAGTGTTTAGTTGTCTTGTGATATCCCTGTGTGTCCTTTGCTGCTTCAGTCTCCATGGCAAGAGTCCAGCGGTGTGTGTGTGTGTGTGCAAACAAATTCTGAGCAGTGTGCTTTTATGACTAGTTGAGTGCAACTCTATTTGCTCTTTAAATGGGTCCCTCCTGATTGAACCTCACATTTCCCTCCTGAGCATGAATTTGAGAAACCTCCAAAACAAAACAAACAAACTAAAAACGATCCAAAACATTCATCAGTTATCAGACCTCCACATCTGGTGGACTTCCACCTCCTCTGGCACAACCAATAGGAGTTCACAGTTCTTCCCTCGAAGCTGGTGACGCAAGAACTTCCTGTAAAATGATCAGAACGATAGCTAGAGAAAAAAAAAAAAGAGCTTGGCATTGAAACTGACTGCTACTTTTCCCTTTAGCATTTAGCACTCACCTCAGTTCATCAGCTGTTCCGATAGCATGAGGACTGCGAAGTTTGGAGTCCAAGTTATAGTAGACTCCTCCCACTTCTCGAACTCCAATCCAGTGTTGCCGCTTGAGGGGCAGTCGCAACGGCCCCCAGCGCAGATTGGATGGCACATTCAAGATGAATCCAGTGACGTTCGGCAGTGCAATGCTGCCGACATCCCTACAGCATAACAAATACATAGGAAAAATGCAAAAAAAAAAAAAATGAATGTGACATCAATTGCACACATCAATCTGTATTCATTTATTAAATAAAAAAACAACAATAAAAAAGAAAAAAGAAAAATGCAATTCATACATACAATGCTCGACTACACCTTTTCCGTGATAAGCAGATTTTTAAAGGGGTCATATGATGCGATTTCAATTTTTCCTTTCCCTTTGAAGTGTCACAAGCTCTTGGTGCATAAAGAAGATCTGTAAAGTTGCAAAGACTAAAGTCTCAAATCCAAAGAGATATTCTTTATAAAAGTTAACAGTCAACCACGCCTTCCTAAAATGGCTCGTTCTAACACGCCCCCACAT